CCCGCTGCTGCGGGGCCCCAACGCCCACGGGGCGCGCGGCGGCCCCGGCCGCTCCCCGCAGAGCCCCGCAACCCCCGGGCGGGAAGAGCACGAGGAGGAGGAGGAGCGGGACAATCCCCCTCCGCGGCTGCTGGGGTTCGGTTCAGCTTCGAGCAGCCCGGGTGGGCCCCGTGAGGGCTGCTCCCGCCTAGCCAAGGTGCCTCCTGCGTCCTGACCGCCGCCGCGCCGGCATCGCGGGCGCCCCGCGGGGCTTTGGGGCGCCGCTCGCCTGCCCGCTCCAGCCTCCCCCGCAGCCTCCGACTGGGGAAGAGGGCGCCTAAAGTTAGTCCCGGTCGAGGGGAAGGCCGTGGGTCGAATCCGGGTTGTGGCAGGGTTGAGTCGGAGCCCAGCGCGCGGTCCAGAGCCTCCTCGGGTCGTGCTGGGGCTGGAGAGCGGGACTGGCGGCCCTAACACAGCGCATCCCGTGGAACGGTGCATCCCGGAAAACAGCGCAGCCTGACAGGGCTTGGGGCTGTTGTTCCCTAGGACTTGTTCCCTAGGGAGCTCCCTGGGTGGCAGAGGGGGTGACTGGCCAGCAATGCCTGGCTTGGTGGGGGCAGCGYGCCGGTTTCCAGCATCCCTGCGCCCTTCCAGCTCCGCGCGCCTGGACAGAGCTCCGGCAGCGCCCAAGGAGAGCCGGAGAATTCACTGCCCRGGTAAATACTGGGTCCATAAGCGTTAGAGCCTGTGACAGTTGTATGGAGGCCCAGAAAAAGGTGAAAACGTTGAGTGCCTCTTGTACAGAGGCCCAAAAAGGATGAAAATAYCAGGCTCTTGCATTGGCCGGGAATCGAACCCGGGCCTCCCGCGTGGCAGGCGAGAATTCTACCACTGAACCACCAATGCTGCAGCTGTGGGCAGGGGGCTGCACAGCTGCCTCGGCTCCSGCGCTGGAGCCGCTGCTGTGGCGGCGCCGGCAGGGCCTGTGCGGCCGCACCGAGCTGCGAGGGGCAGGAGGGAGCTGCGAGGGGCAGAGCCTTGCCCATTCCCTCCGCGCGCTCTGGCGTTTGCAGCCGTTGCAGGGAGCAACCCGGTCATTGCGGCCCCTCGCCAGGTCCCGGAGCTTTCACAGCCTTGTCCTCAGCTTTGCGCGGGATCGAGGACTCGCTCGCGCAGCTGAGAAGGCAGGTGCAGCTCGTCCGGGCCGAGGGGCACTTGCTGGCCTAACGGTGTGGCCGAGTGACCTGTTCCACCGTGCAGGGGACAGTGGGGACGCAGAGCCCATGGCATGGCCAGCGTGGGGAAACTGATGGACCTCAGGGTCCAGAGGCACGAGCAGCTGGAGAAGGGAAGGTTGGGGTCAACCCAGGGTAGGTCGGGACCCTCCTAAGGTGAGGGATTCCAACGTGGGAGGTACTGCGGGTTTGTCTTGAACCTGAATCTTTCAGGTAGGGCCTCCACCACCCTCCTGTGCCCTGTGAGGGGTCCTGCTGTGCCTATATTAAACTAAGCTGGGACTCGACAGCTTTTTGGGGCCTCAAAAAAGTGCCAGAAGTGCCACAAAGTGCTAGCATGGCTGCAGCCCCTTCCCCGTGCTCTTTCCGGAGGTTTGGAGCAGCACGTGGATGGGGTGACTGCTGTTCCACATGAGGGCTGACGAGGAGAGCGCTTCCGTGGTGCAGGGAAGTTTGATTTGTGGGTTGTAAGTTTGATTTGTGGGTTGTTTGAATGTTACCTGCTTTGGTATTGTTTTGTGTTTTAATGTTTGCCAGAGCCCAAACTCAAAGCACCTGTTGCAGGGAGCCGCAGGGAATTTTCCTGGATGAGGGACACAGGGAGCTGATCAGGGAGGCTACCTACCAGGCTGAATTAGGGTTGGGAACTTAGGGACCCGCCGTTGGCATCAGCTGCAATCTAAAGGTGCCTTTTTTCCTGTTCTTTCCTTAGGTTGGTGCGAGAGTTCGTAGCGCAGAACAACACATCCCAGATCAAGCACGTGATCCAGATCCTGTCGCAGGAGTTTGCGCTCTCCCAGCACCCTCACAGCCGCAAAGGGGGGCTCATCGGCCTGGCCGCCTGCTCCATCGCCCTGGGCAAGGTAGAACGGCCGTTTTCGGGGCCACCCTGCTGGGGGRGACGCATTGGCTGCCCCCGGGCGCCCTGAGCTCCCTCCCTTGCCCACRTGAGAGCAGCATCTCGTGCTGCGTCGTGTGACAAGGGCGTCTGGAAGCTTCCCACGTGGCCTTGTCCTTTTAGCACGGGCTCGTGTCCTGGCCTGGCTCACAGAAATGCTGCACAGAAATGGTCTAAGTGTATCCATTTATCCGCTGTCCAGCCACTGAGTTTTGAGTGATCCTTGGTGCTGCCGCAGCTGAGGCATGATYCTGTTTAACTTCAGGCCTGTTTGATCTCTGTTCTTGTTTTAAATCTCTTTGAAAGTGCAAAAGGCAGATGATTTGGGGCCTGTTTAGCTTGGAGAAGAGAAGGCTGAGAGGGGATCTGATTAACATGTATAAGTTCACGAAGGGGGAATGTAGGGAGGAAGGGGCCAAGCTCTTCTCAGCAGTGGCCAGTGACAGGACAAGGGGTAATGGATGTAAGTTGCAAGCCAGGCAGCTCCATCTCCATGTGAGGAGGAAGATCTTGGCTGTGAGGGTGCCAGAGCCCTGGCACAGGCTGCCCAGGGAGGTTGTGGAGTCTCCTGCTCTGGAGATCTTCCCAACCCGCCTGGCTGCCGCCCAGTGCCCCGTGCTCTGAGTGTCCCTGCTGGAGCAGGAAGGTTGGACTAGATGATCTCAGGAGGTCCCTTCCAACCTTAAACATTCTGTGTTTCTGTGATATTGTCAGCTGAGGAGTGCTGACGTTGTCTCCCCTTCCACACATGCGCCTGGTTTTGGCAGGGGCTGGGCGTGAAGTGGTAGGAGCAGGATATTTGTTTGCATCCCAAGGCCTGTGGAGAGACAGAGACTAGGTTGTGCCAGCGTCTTAGCCAGAATAAGCGAGCACTTGGGGTCAAGTACGAGGCTGCTTTGCCTTTCTAATGACTTTCTGATTTCCATCCCACTTTGGGCCTATGATCTTGCCTCTCATGAAAAATAACAAGCTCCATAAGTTTCCTCGAGGGCTGGGCCGGAGCAYCCATGTTCCTGTTGAGAGCAGTGGGGTTGGGCAGGAGACCAGCTCTATGGGGCTTTCCAAGTAAACCATAGGGTTGATCTTTAAAAGCGCGTSCAAAGATAGGAGTCATTTTGGTAGGAAGCAGGATATATATCAGAGAAAACAATGGAGCTTGGGAAGAGCAGACCATCCTTGTTGGAAGAACAGAGGGGGATTTTAATCCATTTAATTCCATTCCAGAGCGTCGCGTTGAGCTTGAACAGGTATTTTCAGACCTTGCATTGGCTGCCTTTGGTTCTGCCTCCGCCCCCAAAGGCCTGAGAGGTGCAGACTGCAAGTGTGACCCCTTTCCCGTCCCGCAGAGCCCAGCGGGGCCCAGGGCAGTCACGGCTGCCGCCGCCACACGGAGGAGGAGCGTGAGGTGGCCTTGGAGAGCAGTGATAAGACTTGGAGTGAAGGCCTTTAGTCCGGCAGTCCGGATGTTGTTGACTTTCACGCTGCTGCTTTTGTTGGGTGCTTGGTAAACGGCGACTGTTCCCCCGACATGGGTTTTGTTGACTTCAAAACGAGCCAAGCTCTGGCCGCTGCGTGAAGCTCCTGTTTTGCTGGCAAATCCTGAAAGAGAAGCCTTGTGGGGAGGAGAGAGGGCTCTTTSGTTCTCYTGTGGGCAGGGTCAAGCTCTGCCTCGTGCAGCAACAAGCTGCATCTTCCAGGACKCACAGAGCCCTGGCACAGGCTGCCCAGGGAGGCTGTGGAGGCTCCTTCTCTGGAGGTCTTCAAAACCCACCTGGATGCCACCMTGTGCTCTGAGTGTCCCTGCTGGGACAGGGGGGTTCTGGGCTCCACAGCACAAGAGGGATGTGGAGCTGCTGGAGAGAGTCCAGCGCAGGGCTACMAGGATGATCAGGGCCTGGAGCATCTGCCCTGTGAGGAGAGGGTGAGGGAGCTGGGCCTGTTGAGCCTGGAGAAGAGGAGGCTGAGGGGGGACCTGATCAGTGTCTATAGATACCTCAAGGGAGGCAGTGAGGAGAATGAGGCGGCCTCTTTTCAGTGGTGGCCAGCAATAGGACTAGAGGAAACAGCCACAAACTGAAGCACCAAAAGTTCCACAGGAACTTGAGGAAAAATTTCCTAACAGTGAGAGGGTGCCAGAGCCCTGGTACAGGCTGCCCAGAGGCTGTGGAGTCTCCTTCTTTGGTGATCTTTAAAACCTGCCTGGACGCAGCCTGTGCCACGTGCTCTGGGTGACTCTGCGTGTGCAGGGATATTGGACTGGATGATCTCTGGAGGTCCCTTCCAACCTCAGCCATCCTGTGATTCTGTGACCCCTTGGGCTGTGGCAGCTCCTTGCCCCCAGGCAGCTGCACGCGCTGAAACCGCCCATTTTCCTGCAGTTTGAACTACTGATTCTGGAGCCCCTAAGGCCGGAAGGCTCTTTGGGTGCTGCTGTTTTTCTCTCTTCTCATGAAGAGTGCATGACCACCTCCTTTGTGCTTGGACGTGCTGCTCTCTGTGTGTGCTGCTTTGCCTGACATAAACCAGCTGCCTGCTCACGTAACCCCTGCCTGATGCCCGTGGGCTTTGCGAGGAGCCTGCGCTCGTGCTGGCTTGGAGAAGGACCAGGTATCTCTGTGGGCTTTTCTCCAGCGCGGCTGAAGGGCTTTCTTTGCCCAAAGCCCCTCTTGCTTTTGAAGAAGCTGGGAGCAGTTGGCCAAAATACTTCATGCATCTCCACAGGCTTGGGCATCTCTGGGAATCAAAATCACCTGTGTGCTCTTCAAGCCGCATTGCTTGAAGCAGTTCTCAGCTTGCCCACCTAACTGCCACCGTACCAGAGTAACAAAATCAGAGCCAGTGAGTTAGGGATGAAGGGCTAAAAGAACTGGGATCCAGTTCAGCAGCAGGCTTGAGCTGTAACAGAGGCAACTTGCTTCATTTTGGCCTCTTCTTGGTATAAATTCAGCTATATCCGTGTGACGCCGGGCGCGCAGCGTTGTTCTGAACTAAACCTGTTGTGTCCTGTCCTGCCAGGACTCTGGGCTCTACCTGAAGGAGCTGATTGAGCCGGTGCTGACGTGTTTCAACGACGCCGATAGCCGCTTGCGGTACTATGCGTGCGAGGCCCTCTATAACATCGTCAAGGTGGCCAGGGGCTCCGTCCTCCCGCACTTCAATGTGCTCTTCGATGGCCTCAGCAAGGTAAGAACCATCTTGTTCTTCTCCTGTGCAATTCAAGCGTACTTAGGCTAGCTCAGTAGTAGGAAACATTGTTATCCGTCTTCGTGGGTGGGCAGTGAGAAACCTCATGAAGTTCAGCAAGGGCAAGTGCAGGGTCCTGCACCTGGGGAGGAATAACCCCGGACACCTGCACAGGCTGGAGACCGACCTTCTGGAGAGCAGCCCCGCAGAGAGGGACCTGGGCACCATGGTGGATGACATGACCATGAGGCAGCAGTGTGCCCTCATGGCCAAGAAGGCCAACGGGATCCTGGGGTGCATTAAGAAGAGYGTCTCCAGCAGGTCAAGGGAGGGGATCATCCCCCTACACACAGCCCTGGTGAGGCCACATCTGGAGACTGTGTTCAGCTCTGGGCTCCCCAGGACAGGAGGGATGTGGAGCTGCGGGAGAGAGTCCAGCGCAGGGCTACGAGGATGATCAGGGGCCTGGAACATCTGCCCTGTGAGGAACGKCTGAGGGAGCTGGGCCTGTTGAGCCTGGAGAAGAGAAGGCTGAGGGGGGACCTGAGCAGTGTCTATAGATACCTCAAGGGAGGCAGTGAGGAGGAGGGGGCGGCCTCTTTTCGGTGGTGGCCAGCGATAGGACTAGAGGGAACGGCCACAGATTGAAGCACCAAAAGTTCCACAGGAACTTAAAGAAAAATTTCCTAACAGTGAGAGYGCCAGAGCCCTGGCACAGGCTGCCCAGAGAGGCTGTGGAGTCTCCTTCTCCGGAGATCTCCCAAACCCGCTTGGATGCAGCCTGTGCCACATGCTCTGGGTGACCCTGTGTGTGCAGTAGGTTGGACTAGATGAACCTCTGGAGGTCCCTTCCAACCTTAACCATTCTGTGATTCTGTGATTCTGTGGTGTGGCYGTCTCTGCAGCCTGTTCCTAGAAACATGTTTCTCTGTCAGCTGTGAATGTGGCTGCTGGCATGTGTACACCTGCCCAGCATGGGAAGGTGGTGAGAGCTTTGTTCCCCATTAGGAAACCTCTTTGGGGAGTGTCTTGGAGGCGAGTGAGGCGTTGGAGATAAAGGGACTTCTCAGTTTCCCTCTCCATACAGTCAGCTCYGAGCCTGCTGGGAGCTCGGCTGCAGGGATGAACTCACCCTGGACCTGCTCTTGTAACTGCTCTTGTTTCTGCTGTTCGTAGCTGGCTGCTGATCCCGACCCCAACGTCAAAAGCGGCTCGGAACTCCTGGATCGACTGCTCAAGGTACTTTTCCACCTCTAGCTGATGACCTTGGTACAGGCCGTGACGCTCGGCAAGGTCAGGCGCTGCTGGCACTGAGGTGGGGACATGGACAATGCAGCACCTGCCTTCACGTGTGCCCCAGCTGACCCTCCTTGACACGTGTGTTGTGGCTGCGTTCTTGGGACGCATATGACATTGCAGCTGCTCAGACCATCCCATCTTGGTCCTCTGGCTATGCTCAGACCGTTTCTTTCTCTTGCTAGCCGCAGCTTCTCTAGCCTGAGATTTCTGGCTAGGAGTTTGATGGTCATCTCAGGCAGATGATTTGAGGGGTTTGCGATGTGATGTGTGCGTTGAGCTCTTGGGAGCTGGGTCTCTGGGGAGCCAAGGTTCCCATCAGAGCCTGGGTCCTCATCCCAGGCATCAGAACTGCTTCTTTTGCCTCCTCCCTGCTTTCCTTCCTCCTCTCCCTTACAAAAACAACCACGTGAGCTGAGTTGCTCTGTGACAAGCAGAGCTGCTGCTGCTTTGGGTGGTGCCTTCAGTTCCCGTTCCTCTTCTGTCTGTCTGAAGTTTTTACTTGCACAGACATTCTGGTTCCCTTCCTGTCCTTTGGAGGCAAATGACTCTCTGCCCCACTTCTGGTTGGCAGAACCGTTGCACAGGCTCTGCTGCAAATCCTCCTGCTGGGAGACCCTCTGCGGAGCAGGGAATCTTCTCTGCAGCTCTGGAGCGAGCAATTTAGCGGCGCAGCCGAATGCACCAAGCATAGGGAAGGGCTTTAAAGGAAGGCCCGAGGATGCCCATGCAAGGGGCTGGCTTGTGGCAAGCAGAAGCCTACCTCCGAGCGTGCAGCACGGTGCTTCTCACTGCCCCCAGGGCTGCTGCTTCCTTATGGCTTGAGCAAATCCCATGATTTTTTCCAAGAGCCTGGAGAACTCAGTGCCCTTTAGGAGACCCGTGTGTCAGCCGCCTGTGGCCCTTCTCCTGTCAYGTGCCCTGAGGAAGGCCGGATGGGAGGGGGCTGGTTGCTGGGTGCCCCTCATGCTGGGTGGCCCTTCTGATGCTCTCGGCCTTGGGTTCTGCAGGACATCGTGACGGAGAGTAACCAGTTCGACCTGGTCAGCTTTATCCCGCTGCTGCGCGAGAGGATTTACTCCAACAACCAGTACGCCCGCCAGTTCATCATATCCTGGGTAGGTGCCACGTGGCTCTGCCAGCCCAGGCTGCCCAGAGGCTCTGGTTTGTCAGCACCCTGTGTCTGGGCAGTTTTTTTTTCCAGCAGGCTTTTCATTTCCCTTGTTTCCTTAAAATACCAAATCCCTGTCACRCCAGTGTTGCTGTGGCTGCACCTTCTTGCTCTTCTGCCAGCCTGGTTCAGGGCTTTGAACATCAAAGTAACAAGATGTAGTCTCAGCATTGCTTATATATATAGGTACCTTGTGGTGTGGAGGTTAGAGTGTCCCAAGGAGCAGTGCCAGGCTACTTGCCTGCAGATTGGAAGATAGAGGCAGTGCTGCAAACCCAGCCGTAGTGGAGAGATGCTGCTCTCAAGGAGACAAGATATCTCCAAGAGAGATATCTTGGAGATCTCTTGGAGATATCTTGTGTATCCAAGGTGATACCTCCTTGTTTCTCTGCAAGACAAGAGCTTTTTGTTCCTACAAAGACAGGAACCTCTTTGTTTGGGGGAGAGGTGGRACCTTTCGGGTCTCTGCTCCCTCTCCTGCAGCCATTCGGGTTGCAGCTCCAGCTCTGCCTCCATGCGACTTGGCCACCACTCCTGCTCCCTGCCCTGTTTTATAGAGGTGGATGGTTTATAGATGGTAGGAATTGCCTACCAGCGCTACAACTTGAAATGCATCAGTCCTACAGACTAAGGATGGCCTTGTTCCTGTAACTCCATTTTGAATGCCTCACTTTTCCTCAATGCTCTCAGTTCCTTGGATTTGTGCTGCTTACGTTAGCTTCTTTGAAACTCACCCATCCTCTTCTTTATTCCTTCCTCGAGTCAGATCCTGGTCTTGGAGTCTGTGCCTGACATTAATCTCTTGGACTACCTGCCAGAAATCCTAGATGGGCTCTTCCAGATCCTGGGAGACAACAGCAAAGAGATACGGAAGATGTGAGTACAGAACTAGGCCCGATGTCAGTCACTTTCTTCATTTGTTTGCACTTCAGGTTTATAACTGCAGCAAAAGCACAAGTGGTGGGAGGCAGAGGTGGGGACACATTCTGCAGCGCTGAAAGCGTGAGGGGTTATCTGAGCCCCACCAGCCCCTCTTTCCCCGTGTGCCCCTCATGCTGTGCAGGCGCTTGCCTCTTGCCTGGGCTCCAAAACCCCTCTCTAGACTTGTAGGCRTTTGCAGGGGGTGCCCGCGCGCCCTGCAGGATCCACCCTCTCTGCTTTGGGCAGAGCGGACCCTTTGGGACCCTCGAGAGCGGCGACGAATGGGGGGACAACGACGACCCTGCACCCGCCTCACTCTTCCTGGCCCTGCGGAGAGGCTGCGTTTGCTGACTGGGTGGTGAGGAGCGTGTACCCTTCCCTCCAGCCTGGGAGCGCTGTCTTGGGAAGATGGAGACCCCAGGCTTTTCTGCAGGATGCGTGTGGACACGTCACGGGTCCGCCGGGACAGGAACACCGCCGGCAGGAGGCTGCTCTAACCTCTCCTCCCACAGCAGAGCGCCGCTGACCTGCTCTTTGCCTCTCCCCAGGTGTGAGGTGGCTCTCGGGGAGTTCCTCAAGGAGATCAAGAAGAACCCCCCCAGCGTGAAGTTTGCAGAAATGGCCAACATCCTAGTGATCCACTGCCAGGCCTCCGGTGAGTGTCTCTCTGGTGAGAAAGCCGCAGCTCCTGCCTCTGTCTCCATAGAGCCAACCACAGATTTAGGGCCAGACTTGCCTGTTAACCTGCAGGTTGCCTGTGTCTGAAGAAGACACTGGCAATCCCAGTGCTCACAGCGTTGTTGAGGTTAGCGCGCCCTTGGTGACGCCTCTGTGGGCGTCCACATCCTGGCAGGTGGTTTTTGAGGAGAAGGCTCCAGGGCCCTGGCATCCCTGTCCTGCGCAGGGCATGCGGGATGGGTGAGAGGAAGGGAGCTGTGGCTGCCGCTGGAAGCGCTTCGGCAGGGGCTGCACGTGAGCAGCTCCTGGTGACTGGTGCCCACAGGGCTCCTGCTGACACAGCAAACACCTTTGACCCAGCAGGTCCCTCCAGTCTATGACCAAAAGCCTCGGATGTTGTCCTTGCAAACCCTGCAGAGAGGTGGGGCCCGCAGCTCCSTGGTAGGAAATCTGCTTTCTATGTGCTCTGGAGCCGCTCCTGCAGCTGCCCAAGTTTGACAGGGCTGTCCTGGCACTGCTCATGCTGAGTGTCCAGTGAATTTGGTTTGCTGAAGCCTAAAGATGGGCCTTTTRTCCCTTGAGGGTCCCACCAGTGAAATGAAGCATTTGTTGGGACCTGAGGRGGTGATAAACCCTCAGCTGTAAGAGTGGCCCAGATATACAACYGTCACAGTGGTGACAGAGCAAATATCCTTATGCTATGGAGAGCACAACATAATACCTATGAATGCAGAAAATGCTTTCAGGGATTCAGYGGCGTTAACTCTGAAGCCTAATGATGACATTAGGGTCCTGTCTTACCCTCCTGGCAACTTCAAGTCTTGTCTAGCTTCTCTGGGACTAGAAAGCAGATGGAAAAACCCTTTACTTAGGGTGCCAAGTCCAGTCAGCTCTGGTTTCACTCAGGACTCACCTTTCCTTCATGTCTGCTTGGCTTGTGTCTTCCAGACGATCTGATCCAGCTGACAGCCATGTGCTGGATGAGGGAGTTCATCCAGCTGGCCGGCCGGGTGATGCTGCCTTACTCCTCGGGGATCCTGACGGCCGTCTTGCCCTGCCTCTCCTATGACGACCGCAAGAAAAGTATCCTCTGAGCTGCCATAGGGAGCTGAGTTGGCTGGATGAGCTCTGATGCCGGAGCCTGCGAGCGGCAGCTCTCCTCATTCCTGCTGCATTCCCTTCCACTGGCAGGGAAGCTTTTGCCTCCTGTCCTTGCAGCACACAGAGGCATGAGTTTTCCCTTCTTAAGTGCTAAACTCCCTGCTGGCCCTTGAGCTTGAGGTATTTGGGCCGGGATAGCCCAGGTGTTGTTGCAGTGGCTTCTCCACAGTGGGCCAGCTTTGGTCCCGACCCATGTATGCCATGTGTTCCTTACCCTGCCTCCATTCAGACATCAAAGAGGTGGCAAACGTGTGCAACCAGAGCCTAATGAAGCTGGTCATCCCGGAGGATGACGACGTGGATGAGGCAAAGCAGCCCGTGCCCGTGCCAGCGGAGTCCGCCTCGGAGGAGGCCCTTTCCAAGGCGGAGGCAGTCTCCGGTGGTGAGTCCCTGCCAGCCTGGGCCATCCGAGGCGTGTGGGGAGGGCCAGGGGARGAGGGGAGAACTCAGGAGATGTCCCTCAGTCCGTCTGGCTCCCTGGGAGAGYCCAGGCACAAGGGGCCACCGTTCTGATGCCGTCTCTGCGGTGCGAGGTTGCTCATCCTGCCTGGAGCCCAAGCAGCGCATTGGGAGCCCCCCCCAGCTCCTTAACGCAATTCACTTTGGTTTGGCCATCAAAATGACCCCCAAAACAATAATTGGCGGTCAGATGTTTAGGGTCTRCCTAGAGAAGCAGCGAATAAACCTGTCTGGCTGCAGGGGCTGCCTTGGGAGAGTCCGGCTGGACGCGTCCGAGCGGCGCCGGCGCCGAGCCCGAGCAGCGCAGCGGGCGCCCAGCACTCAGTGCAGCATTGGTGGTTCAGTGGTAGAATTCTCGCCTGCCACGCGGGAGGCCCGGGTTCGATTCCYGGCCAATGCAAGAGCCTTGTTTTGGATTTTGGGGTTTTTTTTTCTTCTCTTTTTTTTCGAGGCATGGAGGGGTAGTTAATGCCATAGGGAGTCGTTTTTAATTCTCTCATTGTCCTGAAAAGACATCCTTTTGTGAAACTCCATTGCGGGCACTACGAGAGCAGTTTTCGTAATAAAAAAAAAAAGCTTCATGCAAAATACAACTACTTTAATGCTGCAGTTAGTCCCCTTTGGGTAGATGACGCTGCATCTTGAAGCATACAGGACCAAATAAACCTCTAATGCTTTTGCAGCTGAAAATCCCAGCTCTTCTCCATCTTTCCGCTGATGTGGCAGCTTCACCGAGTGCGAGTAGAGCCACTTGGCACAAGGGGGCACAAAGAGTCCGGTTAATTTTGTTCCACTTGGTACTGGGCTCCTTAGACCCGCTTGCTCATGGTGGCCAGCAGAGGCTTCTTGACTCGCTTAGCAGCCCTGTGCACCTCTGCATGAGTAGGATCCAGAGCGCTCTGACAATCTCCGTGGGGTACCCGGTGCCTCTAAAGCTGGAGCAGCCTTGCTTGCCCTCCGCTGAGCTGTGGGCCTGGTCCAGGGTAGCTCCTCAGAGACTTCTTTGATTGCAGCACAGGTTGGAAGAGCTCTTTGACATTCCCACAGGGTCATGCTGCTGGCAGAGGTGGCCAGGTGGCAGCATCCTGATGCGGGAGGCATTGGGCTGGGCTTTCCCAGCGTCTTGCAGACCCCAGAGGGCTACGGGAGGCAGCTGCAGCCTGTGCGTCGCAGGCTGAGCAGGACCAGGTGCCAGTTTCTCCAGTACCTAGTTCTAGCAGGGTTGCTAAAGAGAGAGGGAAGCCTCGGGAGGCCTGGGCTCTCTGATGATGGCTGGTTGCACGCGTCCATGCTGCTTTCTGCCTTCCCTGCATCCCACTAACAGGTCTCCTCCTTTTTTTTTTTTTTTTTTTTTTTTTTTGGCTTCCTCCAGGATCTCTGGATGCTTCTAGCGACTCCACCTTCAGCAACGCCAGCGTCTTCGCCGTCACCAGGTAGAGTCTATGTGCCGCTTCAAAGCAGCTTGAGAACAAGGCGAGACTTCGGGCACAGCCCAGAGCTGGCGTTAGCTGCCAGCTGCGGCTGACAGAAGAGGGGAGATGGTGTCATGCCCTGCTCCCTGCGAAGCACTCTGAGCAGCAGAGCAGTCCTGGTGTCCTACCACAGCACGGTGCTGTGGCTTGGGCATCAGGATGCACAGACCCATCCAGTCGCTTGAGAGGTGTCCTGGCAGTGCCTGCTGTGCCAGCCCGTCCCCCTGCCAGGCGTGGCGTGTTCTGCAGGCCCACGTCTGCACGTACCATACCCAGCACCACCTCTGCCCATAGCTCGTCTAAAGCAGCTCTCCTTCAAACACACCTCTTCCCATTTGGCTCTGAGGGCATCTGGTGTCCAATCCATCTGTCCTTGTAACCATTTCCTTTCCCTTGCTGCCTGCAGTTCTTTTCCTTGTGCTTCTTGTGTTCTTGTCCTTCGTGGTTTTCATAACGCTTCTGTGCCCCGACTGTGATGTCCAAAGTAAGGTTCCTGACTCCAGCTGCATTCTCACCAGGATGTCAGGCACCCACTATGGCTCCTCACTCATCCCAGAGCAATCCATGCCTTCCTGACAGCGACAGCATTTCAGATTTAATCACTATATCYTTCCTTTCCTTTTTTTTTTCCTGCTGCCTACCCAATTATTGCATGTTCCTTCTGGTCCACTTATTTATTTTTCCTCCTTCAAAAGTACAGATCTTTTCATTTTTCTTTCGGGATTGCATTTTATGGCTGTTAAATGGCCTCCTCAGTTCTGTTGTGATCAGTGAGTTCTGGCCCTGCTCTCTGCAGTGCTTGCCAGCCTCCCACCACGCTGTGTGAGGAAGACTCAACCCTCTAGGTTTAGCAGGTGCGTAAGTGGGTGTGCATCAGTTTGAAATTTGAAAAAGAGAGGCAGGAAACCAAGAGGATGCAAATGGATCCTCTCCTTTTTATGTTAACTGAGTCCTGCAGGGTTTGCACATGAGGGAGAGAGGGATTGAAGGCTAGAGGGGCACGGAAATAGCGAGAACTAAAGTGATTTGGCTGCAGCGTCAGTGCAGAGCCAGGGCACCCAAGCTGCAGCCCAAGCTGCCAGGTGAGATTGGGTTTTCCTGCATGGGCAAAACCACGAGTGACAACAGGCAAGGCCACCTGAGCATCCTSTTCCCATCTCTAACCTCAACAGGGTGCCTGAGGGAGGCCACTGTCCCTCAGATCCGTGCTTGGTGTTGGGGAAGGTTGGCACTGGCTTGTGGGGCTCWAAGTGCCAGCAAGACTCCCGGCTAGAGCTGGAGTTTTAGTAAGGACAGGACTGAGGTCAGACCTCCTGGGGCAAGGTGTTTTCCTTGARCACTCGCCAAAGTATCCCGTATGGACTGGTAATGGAGAAGCCTCTCTCAGGCAACCTGGGCTCCAACAGAGGCTCCTGGGGCTGCCCGCTGCTCTGAGCTGCTGGCAAAGGCAATTGCAGGTTGGTTTGGACTGCGTTTGGGTTTGGTGGGTGTCTGCGGTGAAGCATTCATCTGCAGGGGGGCTGCTTTGTCCTCCTGCTCCAGGCTCCAAGGGAGCGTGGAGTGCGGCACCCAGAGAGGTCCGGCCGCCCCTGGAGACTGAACGCATGAGGGTTGGCGCTGAGATGAGCGTCACCTGAGATGAGCATCACCTCTGGTGGAGCAGAAGCGCCGAGGAGGTCTCCAGCGATGCCACAAATGTGGTGTTCCCCTGAGCTCTGTATTTTGGGATACTGGCTTTAGAGCAGCGCAAGGTTGGCTCCGGAGCGGGAGGAGGATGGTTGTGCTCAAGCGATGCCCTGCTTGCCGAGGTGCACTGCAGCAGCCAGACCCGTGGGCTCTCCGGCCTGGACCTTGAGCTGGAGGAAGGATTTGTGGCCAGGGTTGTCCCCGAGTCCCGAGAGGCAGCCTGGAGGCCGAGTGCCCACTGAGTGTCAAGGCAGCACTGCAGGAAGCAGGTTGGTTCCTTTAAAAAGCTGGGAGATCTACAAACTGAGGAAGTTGCAGCTGCCTGCTCGGAGGAAGTCACCCCTCACTTGCATTTTCGCTCGTTCCCCCCTCTTCCTCCGCTTCCCTCTCAGGAGCAAGTGATGAAGCGTGGCCCCATGCCAGGCGTCAAGCTCTCACGCCCCTTCTCCTGCCCTCCCCGTGCCGTCATCTGCACGGGGATAGCACTGGAGCACTGGTGAATGGAAGAGAACCTCGTTCAGGAGCAGAGGAGGAGGGAGCTGTATAGCATCATGTCCAAGCGTCTAAAGATGCTTTCCAAGAATGTAGAAAATGACTAGGTCTGAATGCTTGATAGATGGGTGGTGGGCACGTTCCTGTGGCAACAACGCGATCCTCCGCTCCTAAAACACATTGTTGGTGATCCAAAACGCTTCYGCAGCCAGTGCCAGCTTGGAGGGAGCTTCCTGGTGGCCCTAGCTAGAAAATTGGGATGGTGTCTCTGCCGAGACAAAAATTGGCTCCCAGGAGAGCCTGGCTGCACAGGGAGGACTGGAGTGGCTTAGTGGGGCTGCCCCCACAGGTTGGGGTTCTTGCTCTCGACTTCTGCAGAAACTGGAGTTTGATCTAAGAAGTGGACCAGAGRAAAACTAGAGCCTAACTAGTGCTGTTGGTCCAGGTATCACAATCAGAGCTCAGAAGAGGAAGAGAAGGTCCACATGTGGCTGCTGGAGCTGAATCCCAGTTTCCTTCCTTCCTTCGACCTGTCCTGTCTGTACTGTGTCTCTGGGCCAGATCAACTGGAGATGGGTGCAATTAGAGTAGCYTAAAACACGGTGTTTCAGTGGATGAAGGTTTGAGCAGCTTGAGGCTGCTGGACCTGCTGGACCAACAGGCAGGCATGGCTGGCAAGTCTTCCGAAGGGCTCCTGGTGTGGCCTGGGTTAGGTGCAAAGAAGCTGAACAAGAGTGATGGGACCAAGATCCTAYGCTAAGCCAGGTAAGGCCCAGGGGGCCTTCAGAAGAGTCTTCCTGGTTCAAGGAAGTCTCCTTTAGGATGGTGATCAGGGACGTGTGGACAACCAGTGCATCGGCAGCACCATCTCCTCTGGTTAGGCTTCAGCGTGGCTGAAATTGCTGCTGGAAAGTTGCTGCAGCCTGGTGGCCGGAGCCCCGCGTGCCTTGGGGATGCAGCCGGCAAGCCGGCTGTCCTCAGGCAAGCGAGGGCTATGGCAGGTTGTGGGACCGAGGTGGCAAACACGGCTGGAGGCCTGTAGGGTCCRCAGGAGGCCAGCGCAGTGCGGACGGTTGCGACGCTGTGGGGATGGTTGCGACGCAGCGGCTCCTTCTGCGCCTTCCTGCCTCGGAGGCCGTTCCTGAAGTGTCTGCAGCTCTGCCGCAGCCCCTGTCCTGATGCACCGTGCGGTCCGGGTGCCTCAGCCTCTGCTKGAGCCTCCCTGAGGAGGAGGCTGACAGGTCAGCAGGAAGACAGCCAGGAGCAGAGGAGGTGTCCGAGGGTGACRGCCGGCGGGGCCGGGAGCGGAGAGCTGCCCTTTGCCTCCTGGTTCCTGGCACGAGCCGGCCCAGGAGCACAGCCAGCAGCCCCTGGGGGACGTGTCCTTGTGACTTGGACCACAGCGAGAGGACTCGGAGCTCTCCACCCTCAAAAATACCTTCTCAAAGGCCTGGGCTTTAGCCTGCAACGGGGAAGAGGAAARCTCACTTCAGTGGTGGCTTGTTGTAACACACTAACCCTGGAGGAGGTGCCAGGGCCGCATTAGTCCTCTGAAGCAGCAGAAGAGAAACTAGGGTAGTGGGTTAGATGGAAGCGATTGCATGTGACATCTGCCCTGCCACAGCTGTTGACACGGGGAGCCTGTGTGACAGGCCGAGAGGATCGTATTAAAGCGATGCCGTTACCGCCGTGCTGCCGCTTGGGGCTGCCTGCGGATTAGGAGCAGGGATGCACGGAGGCGGCAGCTGAGCGGACACCCTCCTCCACCGAGTTCCAGGGGCCTGGAACATCTGCCCTGTGAGGAGAGGCTGAGGGAGCTGGGCCTGTTCAGCCTGGAGAAGAGAAGGCTGAGGGGGGACCTGATCAGTGTCTATAGATACCTCAAGGGAGGCAGTGAGGAGGAGGGGGCAGCCTCTTTTCAGTGGTGGCCACTGACAGAACTAGAGGAAACAGCCACAAACTGAAGCTCCAAAAGCTCCACAGGAACTTGAGGAAAAATTTCTTACAGTGAGGGTRCCAGAGCCCTGGCACAGGCTGCCCAGGGAGGTTGTGGAGTCTCCTTCTCTGGAGATCTTTAAAACCTGCCTGGACGCAGCCTGTGCCACGTGCTCTGGGTGACTCTGTGTGTGCAGGGGTGTTGGACTARGTGATCTCTGGAGGTCCCTTCCAACCTAAAGCATTCTGTGATTCTATGATTCTATGAGTGACRCACATAAACCCGGGGCCCTTCTTTCCGTCCTGGGGCCAACAATCCCTTCTGGCAGCGGGAGAGCGCAGAGGCACCGCGTGGCCCCGGGCACCTCGTGCTGAGTCCTGGCCTAATGCGTCGTCATGCTGAGCTGGGCCTTGCCTTTGGCTTCCTCCTTCAACACACCAAAACGTGCTGCAAACAGCACCTCCGCTGCCCTCATCCTCTCTTTGAGCAGTGGGGAGCCGAGAGACACAGCAGTGCCGAGGGCAGCCCCTGCGATCCGTGCTCTCCTGCCCTACACTCTCCAGCCTCTTTCCCCTGGAAATACTGGGCACATTTTTCTTGTTATCCCAAGGCTTTTCTCTCGTGCGCAGGCAACGCGTATTTTGGCATCTTGATGTAATCAGGCCAAGGATTTGTGTGCTCTTCAAGCAGGAGCTTCTCGCTCGTGCYGGGTGGGTAACGGGCTGTGCTGATTCCGCAGGAGAACTTGCCCTGCTGGAAATGGACCTGCAACAGGGGCTTCCTGGCTGGATTTTCCATGTGGCTGTGTGGACACAAGTACCAGGACAAGGGAGGGAGCAGGAACACAGAGCTGGGAACAAGGGAGAGAGGTGCAGGTGCAGAAATAGAGGTTCAGCAAGACCAAGCTCCCTGTGGTGCTGTTCCCGAAGAAAACCCCTCTCCCAAAGCCTCCTTCTTCTGGTTTTATTGGAACCTCTAAGAGGAGACTTCCTAAAAGCCCAGAACGCATCCATCCCTGCCCTTACTCCTGCACGTTTGATCATTCGGCCCATGGCTGTTGTTTGCAACATCAAAGCTAAATTCGTTCAAACTCCGAATGCAATTTGAAGGCGCAAACATCTGCTACGTGACAGAGATCAAGGAGGCTGATATATGCAGAGCTATTAGGGGACAGGGCCTCCTCATCTTGCCCTTATAACGTGTGTCCTGGGGAAGCTCAAACCCCATTAAGCGGCAGTTCGCCCTGCAAATTATACCAGGAGAAATGTGCCCGTTAGGATTTCTTATCAAGCTCTTATCAGAGGAGTTCTGCGCACRCCAGGATGACTGCAAAATTTCAACCCAGCTTGGAATTATTTACAGGCTTGGATAGGACAGGAATGACTTAGCCCTTGCTCTTCAGTGCAGCTCTCTCTTGGAGGTCTGTTTCTAGCACCTGCTCGGAGCTGGATTTTCGGTGAGGCCCCACTATAATGTGGCCTCTTCTACTTTGGGGTAAAAAATGGAGAGTTTTTCGTCACAGTGTGACCTGAGGATCTGCAGCTCTGTAAGTGTTATAAAGGAAGGAGTATCCTGGTGATCTAAACCACCAACTAGGGCACCGTCTGCCATGCTTGGTGGAAGTCTGCCTGGATTAGTTGAGCTGAAGGGTTCTCGCCTGCTTGGGCGTCTCCATGAGGTGAAGTTTGAGTTGGAGACGTTCGTTTGAACTGAGTGGCTTAACTTGGATTCTGCGAAAGCGTTTTTGGACCTTAACTTGTCCTCTTAATTCTTGTTGGTTTTGGTATGCTGCTGGATGTCTGACTCTTTCCCCTCCTTGTAACTCATTGTGAGAAGCTGCTTACATCATAGGCAAACCTATCCCCTTTTGCTTAGGGCATTTTACTGTTCGTGTCCTTCCTGACAGCCCAGAGCCGATATTAAAAAGATGTAAAGTACCATAAAGATGAGAAGTAGAAGTAGGGAGCAGCAGACCAAACATAGGTGAGGCTGTAGAGTGCGAGGAGTTGGGAAGCCAGGGCAGAGATATTTGCTGTAGACATCTGGATGTTGCCACTCTCTTTTCTTAGCTGCCCTCTCCTTTTTATGCAGCTCCGAGAGGATCCCAGTGACCCTGAACCTAGATGGAATAGTGCAGGTGCTGGATTGTCACCTTCATGACACTTCTATTGGGATGATGACTAGAATTGCTGTCCTGAAATGGCTCTATCACTTGTACATCAAGACTCCTCGTAAGGTAAGTCTGGGGTTTAGCACATGAGCCCATTGCTTCCTCTTGGGACTAAGCTACACCTCCCAGCATGCTTATGTTGGAAAGGGGTATCCAGATTCAACGTTTGGTCTTTGCTCCAGTGGCACCTGGCTCTGGAATACCTGGAGATACTCCAGGAAGGTGAAGAGCCATTGAATTAGCGTGGGACACCCATAGCTGCAGTCACACAGCATCATAGGAGGTGTAGCAATAAAACATGGGAGGGTGTGGGGAGCCTCAGGCAGTGCATCCCGAGGCTGAAGGCAATGGGATATAGCTCTGGCGTGGCCATATAGGAGAAGGGTTGGATGCCTGGCTGCAGCGATGGCTCTCGATCCTTGTGGCCATCRTCAACCTTAGTGACCCTCAGTCATGGGCCTTGTGGCCCTCCCTCTGAACATGTAACTGGTGCAGCTGTGCTGAGCTGTCCCTAAAGCACGTTAGTCTTCAGGTGTACCATAGACAAGCAAAGTTTCCGTATGTGGCCCAAGGCAGGCTCTTAGAGAGGGGATCACTGTCAAACTCTCCTAAGCAGGGGCAAGAAATGACCTTGTGTCTTCAACTAACAATTTTGCCTTTGAGTTGTCTGCAATTATCTTGGTAGCATCGTAACCAAATGGCTACATGCCTGTTCTGTGGAGGCTTCCTTAACAGAGGCTCCTAGATACTTAGCTAGCTTAAGAGAGAAAAAGAAGATAGAAAAYATTGCTGAAGCTGACAGCAGCCTCCCATGGTACAGGAGGGTCCTTGGCATGTGCTGATCTGGCCCGTGTGACCACGTCCATCTTTCTGGTTCTAGATGTTCCGCCACACCGACAGCCTCTTCCCCATTTTGCTCCGGACTCTATCAGACGAGTCAGATGAGGTGAGTACTGCAGAAGTCCTTGGGGGTGCTCATCGCTTTCACAGCTATCCAAACTCAGGTTCAGCTTGGTCTGGTACAGTCAGATTGAGCCTAGGGCTTTCCTGGGGGTTACCCAGCGTTGGCACTGGGGAGTTCAGACCCCTTGGCCGAACCAACCATGACCTAGCTGGGCTTCCCTGAGCCCGTCGATACCCGTCTGCCCTCATGCCCAGCTGCACGTCCTCCTACCTCAGTTAGACAAGTGCATTGGGCCTTCAGAGACAAGGTCTGGCTGCTCAGGAGAGGCAGCTGAGCAGAGGCTGCTGCTGGAGGGACACACGGTGTCACCTTGACATGCCTGGAGCTGCAGGGAATGCCAAAGAGCTCTGTCTCGGCTCCCCCCGGCAGGCCACACATCCCTGCTCTGGTTTGACGGACCCGGCAGCGCTGGCGTGCAGTGCCGGAGTCGCGATGCCCGGAGCCTTACTCGGAGCCACGTGATTGAAGCTGCTCATTACGTGGGTTTTTTTGGTTTTTTTTCCTCCCCCTCCAGCCCCTTTCAGTGTCCTTTGACTCCAAACTCAGACGCTACCTCATAGCCTGTGTCAACATGCCTTGGAGCCACCCTCTGAGCCACCCCGCGGGGCCCGAGCGACCGTGTGAGGGGAGCGCTTGCAAGCACCACATTCGCCCCGCGTCTTGGAGCTGAGCTCGGGAAGAACTCAGCACACGAGTGTCCAGGACTTCCCCTTGACTCTGTGCTTGGGGCAAGGGCTTCCCTTGACCCTTCCCTTGGCCTGTGCTTTACCAAGGGAYGTAGACACGTGCAAAGCAGGCAGGTGAGCCAGCTTAGTGACCCTGTACTCGCGGGGAGCCACTGCCAGCGCAGTCACTGCGGAGAAAGAGGACTCCACAAAGAGCGGAGGAGCACTGAGGTTCTTGTGCCGGGTTACATGCTCCCTGTCCTGAGATGCTGCAGTTCTTTTGCCCCCTTTCTCCTTCTTCCCTCCCGCCTTTCATTCCATTCTCCTCCGACTCATTCTCTTTTTCTTCCCTCTCTAGCACATCTTTAGAGACTGAGAGAGCGCTTTAGAGACAGAGACTGAGAGCTTCTACTATCAGCTTGCCTACCTTTAAATCCATATTGCACAGACCTGCAAGTAGCCCCTTGATGTTCTCCCAGGCCACAGCTTCCTGGTGGATCAAAAATCCTGAATATACCTGCTTTAGTTTGCATGCTCAGGGCACAGCACCCTAACCCGCGATAAATCCCGCGCATAAGGGGATTGCAAGGAGAGAGGAGGGAAGGGACTAAGTAATAGCAAGGGAATGACTTGCACTTGCAAAGGCAAGTGACTGCCTGGCCGCTTTCCATACCCTGCTGCTTATGATGCACACATTTCCCAAAGAGTCCCCGAGCACACATCTGCCTTTGCAATGCTCCAGAAAGCCTGCATCTTGCAGATAGGCCCTCCAGCTTGGCAGGAGCTTGCAATGAGTCATATTGCAATTACACTGCTTATTAATATAGAGGGGGAAAAAAAAAGCAGTGAAGAAAGGACCCTGGTGATGCATTTCCTCCATGTGACATAACTGGGAATGGCTCAAAAGTAATTTTAAGCTGATTTATTTAATCCTGTCTTCTGTTTAATTTATTTATTTATTTATTAGGGCAATCCATAGACAAGTCAATCCGTTAAACGTCACAGCTCGGTTGGCTCCCAACCAGATTTGCTGCTCTCTATAGGGGAAATAGGAATGACCAAAATAGTAGGRTTTGAGAGGGGAGGTGGTTTTGGTAGTGAGGAGGACATATTTAGAAGGCTAACTTGAAATGTCCCTGCCCTGTTAGAATTAGGGATGTGGAGTGCTCTAAAAACCATGGTGGTTCTGCCTTGCGTTATTCCTTGTTCTTAGGAGCATTGTGACATTTGTGTGCTGCTCTGGTTGCTCTGGAGCAGATCAGGATCAAGGGAACTCTTTGCAGATGGGCCGGGGACTGCCAGATGAGTGCAAGGATTTTGTCTGCAGCCCTGGGATCATTGGATCGCAATGGGAGGAATCCATCCCTCTTCTGGATTGTGCTCCATGGGTTGGATGTCCACACACCTTGAGCTTTTCCGCTGGGTCTCATCCTGCTTTGCTGCCCTCTCCAAGGGAACTTGGCTCCATGTTCTCTCCAGCAAGGCCAGACATCCTCTTGATGTCTCCTCAGAGCTCCTGCCCAATTTGAAGTCTAGCTCTTGCTCTCCTGTTGCACCTCAAGCTGTCCTGGAGCAGTTGCCATCCACCAGCTTGTCGCTAAAAAGGGAACCTGGCTTTGGAGGGTCAGTGTTAATCAGGGATGGGCAAAAGACCATCCTTGGGTGCCCTACTTTTAGGCTGCTGCTCCCGAGCCGCTCCGAGGCTCCCTATGCACTTGCCATGACCCAAAGCAAGGAGAGACCTGGGCTGACTGGAGCTGGATCCCTACCCTTCAAGTCATGTCCTGTTCTTAGTGTTGGAGTAGCGCAAGGTGTTGTGCCACCTCCACCGCGCCGAACATCTCCGGAGGCATCTGTGGAGCMCTGAGTCATCTCTGCCTCCTTGGTTGGCTCCTCCTCTTACCCGCTCCTCTGGTGCCAGGAAAGAAATAGTCCAAGGATCTAGTTAAGGATTCAGAAAGGCCATGCAGCCCGGAAAAGTTGGAGCGAAGCTCAAGCAAGCGACTCCCTTTGAGATATAGAAGCAGCAGACAATAGTGAGGATACAAAATTCACGGCGCTAAGATCTTGCACGGCTGCCCTGCATTGCCTCGTGCAGGTTCAACACGCACTTCCATGCAGGGAGATGCTTTTTCCCACACTTCTGCAGCTGTTTGAGGTCTGGTTTTGAAGGTCAGCTTTAAAAGCACTGCTTTAAACGTGATATGGTTAAAAACTTGCCTACGAACCCAGCACAATTCTGGTAGAAACGGGCTTTTCTGCACGGGCCGTTTCTTCCCGTCACTKGGTAAATCCTGCAGCCCTGGCACCTGCCTGGGAGAGCTCGAAAAGGAGATGCTAGAAGAAGTGAAATGGGGATTTTCTGCTCTCAAAACCCGTGTACCCTTCAGGACCACGTGTCCCAGGTTAAATGCCCTGCTGATGAAGGGCACTGCTTGAAGAAAGTGCTGCTCTTCAGGCCATGCGAAGCTCCAATCACAAAGGTGGTTCCTAACATCACCGTGAGGCTCACTTGGTGCCTCCCCCAGCTGGATCCCACCTGGCACATTCAGGCAAGTGCAGCAGGAGTTCCCCAGGAAAAACCTAAAACCCTGGTATTTCTCCGTTCCCTACTTTGCCTTCTCTTTCTGCGCTCCAAAATGGGGTTGTTTCCYTCCAATTGAGGACGTTCCCTTTATTTTTAATTTGTTTCTTCCCTGCTCCCATCCGTCTTGCCGTGGGTTGGAAGTTGTGTTGGGAGGAGTGATGCCCTGGAGGTGGAGCTGGTGTCTGCTGTGAGGTGGGACAGGCTCAGCTCTAAACTCTGCTACTCTGAGAACCTACTTGCATCGATGCCGTCGCTCTCAACACCGTGAGAAGATGCAAGCGGTTTCTTCACTTACTGTTTGTATCCTAGGTTGTCCTTCAGAGGGCTGCTCCTGGCCCCATTAAAACGGTGGAAAGTGGGTACCCTTTCACTGAAAGGTGCTGTGTGAACCTGGTCAGAAGCAGATGCTCCCCTGCCCCAGGCACTTGCTGTGGTCCTGGRCAGGTTCGGCGTGTGTTTTATTCCTCGTTGGCAGAAATAGGACGGGAAATTAAGCGCCGAGATCAGTGTAAGCAGAGGGAATAGTGACAAGGAGCCMTATCGCTCTCCGCTGTCGCATGAGCGGCTCCGTTGGAGATGAGGATGGAGGAAACAGGACATGGAGGAACAAGCATGGAGTCAAACAGGAGCAAGCATGATGAGGTGAGAGCGCGATGCTGGGCACTCCTGCAGCTTCCTGCCTCGCGGGGCCTCTTCTCCCCACGTCTGTTAGCCCTCTCCCGTCTTTCCTGGAGTTGGAAACGTCCTCCTGAAAAGCAGAATTGAAGGCAGGGCAGTGCAGCCATGTGGGAGCTGCTGTGTGTCACGTTTGGTCCACATGCACCTCGTCTGTGCCCCCTGCTCTTGCTGTGAAGGTAACGATGACCGTGGACATGTACATGACTTTCTTGTCCTCCAGCCAGCATCTCTGTGACAGGCTGGGACGTTTTGTTCCTCTCTCAGGATGCCAGGATTAAGTAAGGAGAGGAGGAGGGAAGAGGAGGAATCCCTGCTAATTGACATCTTGATAACGCATCAGATCTTTTCTCCTGCGTGGCATTGATATCCACAGCTCTCCTTTAACATCTCCACCATGTCCCATCCTTCCTGCACATCTTGCTGCTGCCAAAACGTGGTTTCTGGCTGCTCTGAGTGCTGCTGTCACCCTCAATCCTGGCCAGGTTCTCCCGTTGCACTTCTGCTTCCCAGTACAACAAAGCAGAACAAAGGCTTGTGCCGACGTGAATAGCAGCCTTAGTTTGGCTTCGTTTTTAGTTTTGCTCTGTTGGTTTTCGGTCCCTTATGCTCCAGCTCCCAGCCTTTAATTTGCCATGGCCAAAATATTGCGGCCCTGTGCCAAACAGGGAGGCGAAAATACAGGCCGTGGCAGAGAGAACACRGAGGACCTGAGTGTGACCCACAGTTCACTTCCTTGCGCTTTTGTTCAGGGTTTAGGTCAGCTCTGGTTATTGCAGGGGCACCTAAAGTGCTCTGGGGGACAATCCCGACCCCAACAAAACCTGCAGGTGGGAGCCCCAAGGCGCAGCCGGAAAGGGCCTGACGCCTTGAAAAGTTCCCTCCACTGCTGGCATGGACAACGAGGGACATAAGGAGCACAGTTTAGGTGCAGTCGACCACATTCAGTCCAAGTTTGCATATCCACAAGCAGCCCTTCGGCAGAGAAGATTCTGACCGATGCAGCAGGATGGAGCGACGCTTCCTCCGTGCTCAAGGCAAAAGCAGAGGCACTGGTTAGAGAGACGGTCTGTGCACCTCGTAGWGCAGCACTAAGAAGTTCCTAGGGGGAACTGGGATGTGCAGGGAGCTTCCTGGCGCAGCACCGAGTTAGGACCGTAGTTACGTTGCTATTGATTGAAAAGTAAGAGGTGCCATGTGTGCGATTTGTACCTACCACAGGTTGCCTGGAGCACCTACACTGGCAGCCCGCACTCGAGACAGGTTCTAGGAGGCACTTTGAGCTTTCTGGGTGCCATGGTCCATGGTGCAGAGCTGGTGTGTCCCAGCGCGGCTGCCTTAAGCTCCCTGGGCATAATTAAACACATTTAAGAGCCGCTCTGGGATGTGGGGACCCACAGCACCGCTCGGGTCAGCCCAGACCGGAGGCAGCCGCAACCCTCCCAAGACAGAGSGCCCTCAGTGCCAGAGCTTGGGGGGCTCGAGGGGGGTCCCGCTGGAGCAGGGGCGAGAGCAGGGACAACGTGGGGCCCGGGGCTCTCGAGGGAAGTGGGGGCGGCTGCTGCTCCACATGCTGCCCGCGGAGCCCCGCTATGGGATCCGTTCAACCAGAGCAGCAGGCAATTAACCTGACCTAGATCGGGGACCTGCAGCTCCCTGGTTTGTGCGGCCTCAAAACTGAGCGCGCTCGAGGCACTGCGGAGAGAGCAAGAGCGGAGACAGAGCCCCGTGATTCCAACACTCCTGTCCTCTTATCACTGCTCTCTGTGCCCAGGGCTGCTGGAGCCGTGGGGAACAGYGGGCGTTGCTCCGATGCACCCTCTGTTTCATCACTTCTTGGCATCCTTCTCGTGAAAATCTCTGTAGGCCGACGATGGGGACTCTGTTCGGTAGCTCAGGTTGCTTCGTTTCTGCGCTGACTCCGGGGCTGTGTCCCTGTAGAGGAGAGACATGAGGCAGTAAAGAGCCACTTCTCGCCCTGCCCTCCTGCACCCAGCTGATGTCCCTGCCGTCTGTGCAGGGTGCCAAGGTGGAGGGGACCCAGCTCGGCAGATGGGACCATTGCCTGCACCCCATGCGCAGCAGGGAGAGCTGAGGACAGACCAGGCCCCAGGGACGCAGAGCAGCTCAACTCGCCCCAGCAGGATCCCTCGGGGCTCCAGTGCTGCCTCCCRCTCCGGCCCGCAGCCCTGCCGCGTGCGGGGGGACCCAGCGGCCATGCGCCTTTTTCCAGGAGCTGGAAATGGCTCCGGCCCCTGTTTGCTCCCCCTCCTGCCGCCTTGGACGGCAGCTGAGCTCCTGCCGGATGGTACCGGCTCCGCTTCCTGCCGGCCCGTTGCCATGGTGATGCCGGGCGCTCCCACGGGATGTTGCTTTCCTTGGAAGCGCCTCGCTCCGTCCTCTCGTCGCTCACACAAAGGGAGCYGCCGCTCGCCGTGGGCCCGCATGGGGATGCGCGGCGCATGCCAAGCGGCCCGCGCTCCGCTCCGGCCCCTGCGGCTCCTCCRGAGGCCGGGAAGCGCCTCTGGAGTGGGTGCTGGGGAGCAGCAGCTTCCCAGCCCCTCTCCCAGGGCTTTGGGGCTACCTCTTCCTCCCTTTCCACTCTACTCCCTTCCCCGCCGGGTCTCGTTTCCTCCACCTTTTCTCTCTGGGGAAGTCCACCCGTTGTGCGTTTCACAGAATCAGAGAATGGTTGAGGTTGGAAGGGACCTCCAGAGATCATCTAGTCCAACCTTCCTGCTCAAATAGGGACACCCAGAGCACGGGGCACAGGGTGGCATCCGGGCGGATTTGGAAGACCTCCAGAGAAGGAGACTCCACAGCCTCTCTGGGCAGCCTGTGCCAGGGCTCTGGCACCCTCACAGTCAAGAAGTTCCTCCTCACCTGGAGATGGAGCTGCCTGTGTTGCAACTTACACTCATTACCCCATGTCCTGTCACTGGCCACCACTGAGAAGAGCTTGGCCCCTTCCTACATTCCCTCTTCATGTCCTTATACACATTAATCAGATCTCCTCTCAATCTTCTCTTCTCCAGGCTAAACAGGCCCCACTTAGTCTCTCCTCATACAAGAGATGCTCCAGTCCCTTAGTCATCTCTGTCGCTCTCCGCGGGCCCCTCTCTAGAAGCTCCACGTCCCTCTTGTCCTGGGGAGCCCAGAGCTGCCCCCAGTGCTCCAGGTTTGGCCTCCCCAGAGCGGAGCAGAGGGGCAGGATCCCCTCCCTTGACCTGCTGGCAACSTCCTCCTGATGCAGCCAGGAGCCCATTGGCCTYCTTGGCCACAAGGACACAAGTTTCCTGCCTGCAGCCCCCGGAGCTGGGCTGGGGGACACCCTTCCCCTTAACCTCTGTAAAGCCGAAGCATCTCCGGCCACATCCACAAGCGGGTCTTGTCATGTGGACAGCACYTTTGGGGACGGACAGAGGGCTCGGGCGCTGCCAGCACGGGCCGTGAGCTCGGGACCATCATGGAGATAGGCTCTGGCTCCTTAGTTGGATTAAGGATCTGAGCTCGTGCGATGCAACGTGGCTCCTAACGTGTCGGGAGGCGAGAGGAGTGATTTTAGCTCTGCTTTTTCGTTCTGCTCAGCCTCTTTGTCCACCTTGGTTTGATCAGGGGAAATGGCTTGAAATGCACAGCTCTTAGACTGGTTTCCAAGCAGTGGGGCTGTGCGAGCTGTCCACTTCCCTGCTCTCCTTCCCCTGCTGCTAAGTTTTGTGTCTCTCTGCCAGTTTTAGCCAAATATGATGGTTTGGAACCCCCTGAGGCTGCTGTTTGCCCAGCTGCGAGAACTCGAGGCTCAAATTAGCGCCCTGCCCTTATGGGAAGGCTGCAGATTCGGCTGAACCGTTCAGTTAGACCCCAGAGAATCCACACAAGGGCAAATCTCAGGCAACGTGACCTTCCGAGTGGTGCTCAGAGGGTTATTGGCCTTCACGTGAAAAAGGGGCCGCCTCTTTCCAACAGGCCCAAGCAGGGGGAAAAAGAGAAGAGAGTTTGTGCATCCGCAAGGATCGTCTCCATGCGGAAAGCGGCCAGATTCCTCTCTGCTTCCCGCGTGCAGAGCCAGAGCGCAGCCTCCCTTCCGTGGAAGAGGAGGAGGTTGCAGCAAGCTCCCGTGTTCTTCCTGCCCTCGTCGTGCAAAGGCTGTTGTCATCTTTTATTCCCTCCCCAGGAGAGCTGCAGGTTGTGGCCTAACAAGGTTTGTGCCCATTGGCACATCCCGAGGGCCGTGGGGCCTCTTGTTTATCCACCTGCGGAGCCGGAGGCTCCTGCTGGCCCTTCCCCATGGCCAGTGCTGCCTTCCCTCCTGGTTTTCCCCATGCACAAGAGGGATTTGCAGTTTGCAGGGGAGAAGGGGAGGATGTAACCCACGATATAGGGTTTATCCCCAGTTTCTGCACTGTGTACAGTGTGGACCCGTTGCGGGACTCCTAGTGTCCTCCTGCCCGGCTCCCTGCCCACTGTGGCTAGGGCACAAAATGCCCAAAGCTGCCCGAGAACATGGAAAAAGTCCATGCTGGGGGAAAAGGAGGGTGCAGGGCTGCGCTACGCAGAGCAGGAATGAGCACCTTCCCACCAGCCTGTCCACCCTGCACGCGCTTGGAACGCGCCGGCGGGACTGGTGGGACATGGAGACGCAAGGACACCGAGATGAAGATGGACCTGAAATAGCTTCAGACACCAGCAGAGCTGGGCGAGAAAGAAGTAATAGCTTTGCCAGATATGCTATATATAGGTAGCGTAGACTCATTTAACTTGTTCTGGAAGGCAAGAGCTATTAAATACAGATGTCAGCTCTGCCCCGACGTCCTGACTGCTGGGTGGCAGGGTCTACTGGTCTTGAATGTCTCCCCAAACATGTGGGAGATGTCAGGCCGGCCTGGTTGAGCTGGAACTGCGGCCTTGTGTGGGACCGGGGGGACCATGCGGAGGCGGATGGCCAAATTGCCAGCTCAGCACGTGGGGTTTATCCCGACTCCCTGGTTAAGAAGGGGAGTGAGGAGGCAAAACCCCAGAGCACCCTTATGTAGGAAGGGAGAAGAGCAACGATGGGGACCCAGAGGTTGGCCCCGCGCCCGCCTCGCCATTGCRTTGTTCCCGTTCACCCCGCGCTCTCCGTCTCTTTGCAGGTTATCCTGAAGGACCTCGAAGTTCTGGCTGAGATCGCTTCTTCTCCCGCAGGTCAGACGGAGGGACCAGGTGCCTCGGAGGGCACCGAGGTGCGACCGAGCCAGGTAGAGCTCCACGTCCCCGTCAGAGGCAGCCAGCTGAGTTCCTCCGGTAAGGGCCTCCGCRTTGCACCTCACTGGCAGCCGTTGGAATTCACAGAATTCCAGAATTGCGGAGCACGCTCTGGCTTCYGAGTCATTTCATTGCCCTCGAGGCTCAGTGGCACCTGTCAGATGTGGTCAGGCAGAAAGGAAGGCCCTTCTTGTGCTAACAAATCAATATATCAATTCCACCCCCTAATGGCTTGGGAATTAGAGAATCTGCCATGGAGCAGGACAGAGAACTGTCTTCATTCTTTTCTTTAGCTCGCATCTTGTTCCTCATTTGGGGTTTGGTCACAGTCAGAATCTGTTTAGCAGCAGTGTGCAGCAGAGGCTGATGGAGGGATGCCATTATGGTCCCTTTTTGTGAGACAATCTATTTTACTGCAATAATAAGTGGTCTTCTAGAGAGCTCCCTCCTCCTCCTCCTAACTCCACCCTGCTGTCTGCACACAGGACTAGGAGAAAGTGGAGGGGAGACCACGTCTCGGGTGCCCCAGGAATGAAAAGGTCCGAGTAACTGCAAGTCCCTTGGGTGCTGTTCTCTTCTCTCCTGGTAAAAGTCCATTTTTAGGACTTTTACCCCCCTAGGAGGGGGTAAAAGCCCCTCAAAAGGCTTGAGGGGCTGGTGCAGCATGCTGCCTGTTGGAGGCTGCTGCACGTGAGGAACAAACCGCTACCTTGCTCTGAGTGGCAGGTGAAGGGAGGTGAAGAGGGACCGTTCTGTTTTATAGGGATTTGAGGAGGAAAAAAAAAAARGRAAAAAAGGGAAAGAAAGCCTTTCATAATCATCCTAGCCCACATGCAACTTTTTCACCTTCCTTTCTCTAGTCCTTTGCAGTTGGTTGGCATCCCCTTCTCCTCTGCTGCTGTTTAAGAGCCTCCCTTCTGTAGGGTCTAAGCCAAGCGCTGCTGGCCAAAGACAAGTTTTTCACATCAGCTTTRGGCTGTAAACTCGGAGCAGAGCCCAGGCTGTGTGTGCCTCGCAAAACCACCCGAGCAACGAGGAGCWCCACATCTGCTGCCCTCACTCCTCCCTGGGCCTTCGTTTCTCCGAAGGCCTCCAGTACCTCGCTGCCTTGCAAGGTTCCTGATTAGCAACCAGGTTTGGAGAATCCCTTGGGCTGTTTCTTTTCTGCAGGTCTATGCTGTAGCCAGGAGGAGCGTTATCGATCCTGCGGTGTCCGGAGCGGGACGGGGCCCTTGGAGCAGCTCTGGCAGCGCTGGCTGAGCAGCTGAAGYGCTGCAGTTGAGATCATGCTCATGGCTGTCTGAGGTTTCCTTCCTTGTGGATTTATCTAAAAATAGCACGCTGGATGGCGTGTATCCTAACGGCTGCCGTGGCCCCTTTTAGTATCTGGAAGAGCAACTTGGCTTCAGTTATCCGAGTGTAACGTCAGGGAGGAATCTGGATCCCTCCACATTTAGCAGCTCGGCTGTGGCCACAGCTCCAGTTGCCCTGGCATGGAAATGGCTGAAATGCCACGCAAGTCGCCGGGCGCTCTCGCTCCCTCACCCTGTTTCCTATTCCTTCTAACACATGGGAAAATTGATTTTTATTTTTTTTTTAAGTTATTTGCGATAGAGCTTTGCAAAGAAAAAAAATTGTTGGCTTCTACCCAAAAGTAGATGCTTTTGGGGGAGGAGAAAATGAGCCTCAGACTTTCGTAAGGGAGGAATCTGGCCCCCTTCCCGTCCGTCTGTGGCCACCCAGGCCTCACGCACGGGCCGGTGCTGCCTGCTCTGCTTCGGCCCGCAGAGGAGTGAGGGGTTGTGGCCTGGCTAGGACCCTCCTGGGGCCCGGCTGTGAGCGAGGAAGCTCTTGAGGATGGCGGGGGCTGTTGTTTGGGGCTTGCTTTGTGGGAGCGGGAGTTGTTCCCACATCCAGGCGTGTTCCCGGGGGCAGGCGGCGCGGCTGGAAAGCGTGAGCCCAAAGTCTGCCGGGGAGGCCGAGGAGGCCTTTGCTGGGCTCCTCATCCAGACACGGGGCCCGTGCGAGTGTTGGGACCATCACACCCGGGGGTACCCATTAAAACACGGAGCTGGCCGCTCTGCCCTGCAGCTCCAAAGCAAGCGGAGAGGGCAGCGGGGAAGGCGGAGGGCGCCCATGCCGGAGTCTTCCCCCCCGCCGCTTCCGCGCTGCCCGTCTGCTTTCTTCCCTCCCTCAGGACGTGTTTGTGCAGTTGTTTCCTTGCCATTGAGCTCGGTTTCCTTCGGCCGCGCGCCGCCCGCGCGGGGAGGCCGTGTCCCGCTTCCGCAGCCCGTTCCCAGCGCCGCGCTTTATTTAGCCGCTTTGTTYGGCCCTTACGTAAGGCCCGGGCCGCCCGCCGGCGGCCCCTCCGCGCACAAAGAGCCCCGGAGGCCCCGGTTCCCTCCTCCAGCCCCGCGCAGGGGCCAGCGCGGCAAGAGGCCCTCGCCACGGGTGACACCCTTCGATGCAGTTCTATCCCRCGTGGGAGCAGAGAGCATCCTCCGCCAGGACGCGGACAGATCCGAGGCGCAAATCCCGAAGCAGCTTCGGCTCGTTGTCATGTTCCCTCTCCCTCTTGCTCCGGGGGCTCCTGCCTGGCCRGGGGTCTCGGGACGGCGCCGTGCCCGCTCCGGTGTTCGGCAGCACGGGATGTTTACCGGGACTGGGTGCGTGGGTGTGCGGAGAGGCCCTAGGTCGTTGCTTTCAGCCAATTGTCCATGGTTGTCCCAGGAGTTCATGGATTACTCCTCCAGAGCCTGCTGAAAGCATCTGGGAAACCTACTCCATTGAATTTAAACTTTACGCCCCTTGGAAAACTTGCAGGACTCCAGAGCCTGGGCGGTGGAGGGGGAAAGGAAAAAGCAAAACTTGAGAATTGCTGTTCCAGGGGTTTCCCATGCACATTGGGGTTTTTTTTTTTTTTTTTTTTTTTGAGGAATTCTGTTCCTAGTGAGCCAAAACGCTCGCTTCAAGCTCTCTGCCACTCGGCTGCTCGGTCTGTGCCGCTCATACGTGTGCGCAGGTGGCAGCCCAGGGCCAAGTCTGGAGCCGTGGCCCTCTCTGGAGAGCCTGGAAAAGGGTCGGTTGGCACCTGAAGACACCGGCCAGGAACCTGGAGGCTGCAGGGGGTCCGTGCAGGGGAGCAAGGAGCAGCTGGCCTGTCCTCAGCTTGTTTAGTTTTGCTAAGCTTCAGCTTTCTAACGACACGGGGAAAATATTTCCGAGGGTCTGAAGAGGGTTTTATTTCAGAGGGTTTTTGGAGTTGAAAACTATTGGCTTGCCTGCTGCYGTGAGGGGTAGGTTCTGGAAGAAACATCGCATTGAAGCCTGGCTGCAAATGCTTTTCTGAGCCTTGTGCCAGCTTTTTTGGTGGCTGCAGGCTGGGAAATTTGTGAACGGGGCTGATTTGATTGAGACTTGTGCCTTGGGCCTGAGAAATCCTTGTGAAAGTCCGGGAAGGGTCACTAGGATGTTCCATCCTGTTGCTCCCAGGTGCTGGTTTAACAAGGCYGTGATGAAGAGGGTCCCCCTATACACACCTTGGTGAGGCCACATCTGGAGACTGTGTCCGGTTCTGGGATCCCCAGGACAAGAGGGATGTGGAGCTGCTGGAGAGAGTCCAGCGCAGGGCTACGAGGATGATCAGGGGCCTGGAACATCTGCCCTGTGAGGAGAGGCTGAGGGAGCTGGGCCTGTTCAGCCTGGAGAAGAGGAGGCTGAGGGGGGACCTGATCAGTGTCTATAGATACCTCAAGGGAGGCAGTGAGGAGGATGAGGCGGCCTCTTTTCAGTGGTGGCCAGCAATAGGACTAGAGGAAACGGCCACAAGCTGAGGCACCAAAAGCTTCACAGGAACTTGAGGGAAAAAATCTTGACAGTGAGGGTGCCAGAGCCCTGGCACAGGCTGCCCAGAGATGCTGTGGAGTCTCCTTCTCTGGAGGTCTTCCAAACCCGCTTGGATGCCGCCTGTGCCCTGTGCTCTGGGTGACCCTGTGTGTGCAGGGAGGTTGGACTAGATGATCTCAGGAGGTCCCTTCCAACCTTAAGCATTCTGTGATCCTGTGACTCTAGGGTGCTGCTCATCTGCTAGTGCGGCTGGAGATGGCCCCCAGTGCCAGGGAATCCTGCGTAACACGGGGACGGAGCAGGGAATTGAGAGGTCACAACTCCTCACAGCKCTCTGCGACGCTGCTCCCACCTGGTGCTGCCCCAGGTAGTACTTGGGAATGGCCTTGGTAGGATGTAGAGCCAAACCCCCGGGATGCAGCTGGCACCTCCCAAGATCTGTGACCTGGTTTCCATTTTGCCTGCTCCAGATTCTGTTTTGCTCGGGGAGATCCAGAGGATCCGTGCAGCAAAGGCCGTGGAAATACATGCAYGTCTTCCCCCGCTCCGACCTTCCCACTGACATTGCTCAGAGCCCAGCTGAGCTGCCAACATGTTTGCATCTGTTTCTAACTAGGACTTGCACTGGGTTTTATTTTTTTCAGTTCTGTTTTTTGTTTTTTTTAAAAAAAAAAAAAAGAGGTTTCTATTTTTAGCCCTCTCAGTGAGGTTCCTCTGTGGCGGCTTTCGCAAAAGCCCAAATTCAAAACATCCTGGTGGGGAAAGGCTGTCGGGGGGAGACGCTTGGCAGATTCCCACGTCCCCACATTGGGTTTCACTTAGGAACATCTGCCGGTGCTGCGGCTCCGGGTGCCCGGCCCGCTCCGGCTCCRGGTGCCCGGCCCGCTCCGGCTCCGGACAACGTGCCAGAACCAAAGGAGTCCCTTCCCGGGAGAGCGGCAGGCACAGGGCTGACCCCGTTACATCCAAGCCAACCTCTCCCCGCTCTGTCCTCAGCCCTATGCGTTTTGAGGCTTTCTGCAGCGAGTGGCCTGGCTGCTCCAGGCAGYGCTGCAATATATATTTATAAGGGCCTTCGTCTCGGTTCCTAATTGCTTGTCGCTTTTGATTTACGAGGCGGACGCTGGAGCGATCGGAGCGACCGGAGCGTGCTGGCGGCACAGACTGCAGGCGAGCGGGACAGCTCGGCCAGGGGGGGAGAGGCCACCAGAGCTGGCGTCCRAGTGGGAAGCTCCGGCTGGCCCATTAGGGTTTCTGGCTCTGCCCCAGGCTGCGGCATTTCCCTTGGAAACAAGGATCTGCRAGGATGGAGTGGATGCTCTAGGTGTTCAGGAGGTAACTCGGGTCCATCACATGGAAAGGAGTTTCTTTGTCTTGACCGAGAGAAATGGCAAAGGGAGCTCCAAGGCTCTGGTAGGTCTTGGAGAGCAGCAGCTCTGTCCTCCCCCTGGACAGCTCCAGAAAGTAGGGGGAAACATTACTTGGAATGTGGTCATGTGTCTACCCTGGAGCCTCCAAACTCAGCTGAGAGGAAGAAGCTGGGAGCGCACCGTGCCCGTGCTTAATGGCACTGCTGGGCTGGGCCCCACATTCCCCATTGTGCTTGTGACAGCTGGACCGTAGGATTGACTCCATCATTCCCCAGAGCAGGSATCTTGCCTCTCCCAACTCCCTTCTCCATAGGAATAAAAAAAGCCAGAGAAGCAGCCGAGCTGTTTCCCCAGCCCTGCTTGTGGTTGTGGTGCGTTAGCAGCCGATCTGGCACCTTATGGATCTGCAAAGCGGCGCTTTCGGGGAAAGGGGGAGGCGCACGCTGCGATTAACTGAGCCACAGTTTTCTTAACACTCCTCTCTGCCTGTCTCGCRTGCTTCCTAGGAACGCTCCGAAGCGGAGCCCGTCGCCGCCTCTGTGCCCGAAGGTGGCAGGTCCCAGCAGCAGCTCAGCAAGGGGACGCCTGGCTGCCTTGGCGGCTCTTGGAAGCCTTGCGGGATGGCTCAGGATGCTGCTCGGAAGGACACACTCRGCCAGGAGGGCTCTGTAGGGAGGCAGCGCGAGCGCTGGCCTGTTAGGTGGGCAGGAAAAGCAGCGCTGGCTGAAGGAACAGGATTGCGCCAGCTGTCCCTTCCCCCTGGCATTCCCAGCGCTCCCAGGGGCCAGGAATAAGAGCCTTTGCCCCCAAGAAACCTTGACGTCCCACTCTCTTCTGCGGGGCAAACCGGGCTGCATCTTTTCCACATCGTTGTCCTCTGGGTGTGCTGTTCCCCCTGCCCTCCTCTTCCTCGCTGCAGCCCCATCCAGCTTTGCCTGAGCGGAGCAGAGGACAGGGGGACACCGAGGGATGGTGCTTTCCAGGAGCCGCTGTTTGTGGCCCTGTGTGGGCTAAACCAGGTGTCTTCCTCAGCACTTGATAAATTTGCTTTAATTCTCATTGCTGGGCTACGTAGCATGGGCAGTTATTGAATTTTGCCCACTGTGTCTGCGTCGTGGCAGCTTTGGCTGGGGACCTTTGACGTGCTCTGGCAAGGGCACCCAGCTGGGCTCCGAAGGAAGGAGAAGAACGCATCGGCGCCCGGAGCTGGATGAACCTGCGGGCTGCAGCTTGGGTCTCATCTCGGCTGTGATTCTGGCTTTTGGAGAGCTGGTGGTGGCATTTTTGGCTTGCAAWGGGCATCACTCACAGAATCCCAGAATCCCAGAATGGTTAAGGTTGGAAGGGTCCTCCAGAGATCATCTAGTCCAACCTTCCTGCTCCAGCAGGGACACCCAGAGCATGGGGCACAGGGCGGCATCCAGGCGGGTTTGAAGACCTCTAGAGAAGGAGCCTCCACAACCTCCCTGGGCAGCCTGTGCCAGGGCTCTGGCACCCTCACAGTCAAGTCCTTCCTCACATGGACATGGAGCTGTCTGTGTTGCAGTTTGCACCCAYTGCCYCTTGTCCTGTCACTGGCCACCACTGAGAAGAGCTTGGCCCCTTCCTCCCTACATTTCCTCTTCATGAACTTATCCATGTTGATCAGATCCCCTCCCAGCCTTCTCTTCTCCAGGCTAAACAGGCCCAACTCAGTCACTCGGCCAACTCAGTCTTAGCATTGCCTAAGGAGCCCCACAAGAAATCCCACCCTCCGCGCCGGCTGTGTGCCGTCGCCATCCCCATCCTCTCCTGCCGCAGCAGAAGGGCCGTCGCCACTCGCTGCTGGGGCTCTGCCCGTTTCCCAGGCTGGGAGATGCCAACCAGAGGCACCAACTGCACAACAGTTCTGCCCAGCTGGGCGGAACTTGCAGCTTTGCAAGTGGAGCTGCGGCGTGTGGTGTCCTCTGGGCTCCTGTTTCCAGCCTGCTTTCAAGCAGRGCCGAGCAGCCTATGGGTAGAGCACAGCTCTGCTTTGGCTCAGGATAATCTGCACCTTTGCACGAAGGCACCTTTGTTTTGGCACGTCTGGTCTCACTGACATAATATTTTTGTCCACATCAGCTTACCTGCAGCCCGGAGGAAGCGCAGGACTGCGGTCAGAGCTGGAAGAGGATACCCAGGGATATGGGAGTCGCTCTTGACAGGGCTGATGCGGTACCTCGAGCAGCCGTTTTCCAACAAGCTGCTCAAATGGAGCAGCTCTGGGACCATCTTCCCCCAAGGCCTCTCTGCTGCTGCCTCGCGGGCTGCCAGGGCCACGAGGTGCTTTCTGCAGGGCTGGGCAGTGCCATGACCAGGCTGATGCTGCTGGAGCTCAGCAGATGCTGTGATCCAAGGCTCCGAGATGGAGCTGTCGTGCCCCTTCCCTTCTGCTTTCAGCGCGTTTCGGGAGGCCACTCTGCCCAAGGCTGCGTTTGCGGCCCTGCCCCAGCTGCCCTGTAACTCGCTGTYTCCTCTGCAGGTACCAAAGGCATGGAGTGCTCTCCCTCCACGCCCACCATGAACTCCTACTTCTACAAGTTCATGATCAACCTGCTCAAGAGGTTCAGCAGCGAGCGGAAGCTCCTGGAGACGAGAGGGGCCTTCATTATCAGGTCAGAGCGCCGCGCTCCACTCCGAGCTTTGCCATAATCCTGGAACTCCTTCCTGGCAATGTGAGCTGGGCAGGAAGGGCTTGAGCAGTTGAGGCAAGTGCCGAGCTTTCCTGGATCCCCAGGAGCCAGGACCATTCCTGCCAATCTCCTTGGCTTGCTGGCTCTCGAGGCTGCTGTTATGGAGCAGACGGACTTGCCCTTTGCATGTTGAGACATCCTAGCCTTTGCTCCGTGCCCCGGGGCAAAGTATCTCCTTATTAAATGGTGTTGTCAGATCCCGTTTCGTTAGGACACAAACAGACCAGCCGGAGCATGAAGACGGGCTCAGGGTGCCAAGTCAGCTGGTTCCTTTAAGCCAGGTCAGGTCTGGGTGCAGCAGATCAGCGTAACTGGTGTCAGGCACGTGACATTGGCCTGGTGGAAGCCCCTCGTCCGGGTATTTCATTTCATGCAGTTGAGTAGTGAGAGGCCAAGTCGCTCACTTGGAAGAGAAAGCAGGGGGAGGAGAGGACGAGGAGTCAATGTCTCGGTCTCTTGCACAGGTTTTGCTTCCACTTTTTGAAGGAAAAAAAGCGGAGTTTGAAGGAGTTCGTGTTAGGTGGTAGATGCAGTGAATTCCTCAGCTTAGAAATAATGGACTTAACAGTCAAGAAAAAAAAATATATATATATATCAGGAATCTGGGRGGAGGTAGGGGCACGGCTCTGTATTTTTCCTTCCTTGCTTTCAGCGTGGTGCCGTCGAAATGTGCTGAAAGAGCATGAGGCGCGTGGAAGAAATCAGCTGCCTCTGCAGAGGCAGATGTCAAGGTCCCAAGTGAAGGATTAACCGCTCCGCCAGCTCCGAGGTCCAGGAAAATACAGGGAGTCTAGCCCTCCAAGTCATCCCRGTCTGACTTTTGCGTTAGCTGAGCGCCCCGGGGTCTGCTCCCTATAACAGGGGGTGCCCACATCTTTGGGGTGGCCTCGACACGGTGATGAAAAGCGTGGCCGGGTAGGCTAGAAGTGACTCTTCGGTCCGTGGTGCAGGAGAGGGGTAGCAGATTCCCCCCTGCTGCTGCCTGGTGTTAAAAGTCGGTGTCTTAACCCAAAGATTCATTGAAAAAACCTATTTCCTCTGCCAGAATCTAGCGTGGGATGGGATTTTTGCCTTCTCTTAAGAGTCTGGAAATGTTGAGCTTAATCACTTGGGGATCTAAGGATAGGAGAGGGGGAAAAAAATCCCGTTTTTAGTGTTTTCCCTGGTGTCTGCAAAACGGGAGCACAGAATGTGGTTTGAATGAGCGACCTCGGAGAGGCCCAAGTGGCCCTGGATTTCGCTAGAGGGGCCGGGCAGCTGGGTCTGGTCAGCGCAGCGAGCCTGGACAGTGTCCCGTGGAAAAGTTTAAAGGGTTTAAAGGGTTTTTTGTACTGCAATCATCTCAAATTCCTCCCTCCGGCCCCAGCAGAAGTCCCTCGGCTCTCCCCGGGCAGGCTGGGCCGCTCCCAGAGCCAGCGGTGTCATCAGAGCAGTGAGCGGTGACTCAGAGGCGCAGAATTGCAAAAAAAAAAAAAAGGAAAAAAGGAAAAAAAATCCAATTTGATGCAAAAAATCCCGCCTCAAGCCTCTGTCCGAACTCGGGCACGTTGTGGCGTGCGTGTCGCTGCTCCCACCTTGCCTGGGATGAGCCCTGCCCTGGGGTGCCCGCAATTCACTCTGAAACCTAGTGAAGAGCCAAGAACGCCGGGCGGGAAGAGAGCAGGGAAAAAGTTCGCAGAGCTCTCCGGAAGAGATTGATCCATTGCCAGGGAGACCCACTTAATGTGGGAGCCTCGTGGCGCTATTTTTAGGCCCTTTCCAAAGCGGAGCCATATGTGTTTTCCTGCAGGATCTCTCGGCGCTGTCCGCAGGCAAGCTGGCTGTTACGGCGGGTGGGGGTGAGGAGCCAGCCCCTTGTTTGACTTGGGAGAAGCCGACGATTTTTCAGGATTGCCTGGAGAACCCAAAGCAAATATGTGGGCAGGCGGCAGCCAAGGGCAATCCCGGGYGCCGGGGATTGCTCCCCTTGTTCCCGAAACCACCGGTGCCTTTTCTGAGGCCTGGCAATAAGGAAAGTTCGATGGACCCAGCAGCTCCCTCCTTATCCAGGCTGGAGCGGCGGGGAGGGAAAATCAACCCGTTAGGTTTAGGCAATTATTTCCAAGCAAGGGATTAGGGCTTAGCAGAAAAGGAAATGTGGGATGGGGATCTGCAACAGAACGCAGCAGTTTTCCCTGCCGTGGCAGGGATAGTGTGGGCAGCAGAGGCGGCTGGTTTTGCTCGTGCTCCTTGGCACCCGCTTGTTGCACCAAGGGGGCTTTGGTCGCCCTCCTGCTACATCCTCGAGGCCCCTCACGGCACCGCGGGGGCTTGGGAGCACAATCCGATGCCCATTGGTGCCCAGGAACCTGCCCACGCGGCAGAGGGAAGCGAAGCCTCCAGGAAAGGGCCCTTGAAGGCTCTTCAAAGGCACCGAGCACTCACTTGACTCCAGGGCCTCGTAAACATTTAGAAGAGAGACCCTCTTTGCGCAAGGAGTCGTCATCCAGAAGCCCCCGGAGAAGGGATGTTTATTGGCACAGGACTCTCGCCTGGTGGGCAAAGCCCTTTCAAGCTTCCTACCCCTCAAAGAAGCTTCATGGTCTCTTCCAAGGATGTTTTTTTTTGCCCAGAGTGGGTTTTGTGCTGCTCCAGAGATGGAGGTTGCCCWTGGGGCTCGGTCTCTTGTTGCTACTTGCGACTTGTTTTAGGCTCAGGGCCGGAGGGTGCCTGGAAAAGCCCCTTTCGAAGGCCGAGCGCCGCTGCTTCCACCCAGCCCRCGTTCGTCTGCCGTCGGGGAAGCTGCTGTCAGAGGCAGGAGCCCTCATCCCTGCTGGTGCCACCTCTGCGCGCGGCCCGGGGACCTTCCAGCCTTGCTGCTAGAGGCCCTTGTGGCCTCTCTGCCCTAGCTGGACCGTGGCGGGGAAGGAGCCCTGGGCTCCACAGAGCCTCTGAACGAGAAGAAAACATCCGCGCTCAGCTCCAGGCCTCCCCATTATGGCTTGGGAGCGGCACAAAAATGCAGAGGAGCTTCCAAAGCGTCACGTGTCGCCTCGCATCCGTGCAGGCGTCCGGCGAGCAAGGAGGCTGGCGAGGAAGAGGGGCCAGGTTGGGAGGAAGAGCCGAGCTGAGGGGCAGTGGTATTAACCCACGTCACTACGTGACCCCCCATATGTGACCACTCCATAGGATGCGTCTCCACCGTTGGGATTCTCTGTGTGTGTTTCCTGCCTCGGGCGGAGCGAGTGCCCAGGGTGGCCCGGCACTTCCCGAAGCACCATCGGAGCAGCCCGTGGCTCACCCCTTCCCGGCAGCGGCGTCATGGGACCGGGGCGGCTCGTGGCTCCTGACAGGCTCCGCTGCAGCGGATGCAGCTCCGGCTTTGCGGCATCGGCTGGCAACTTGGAAAATCCCCCGGCAGCTGCAGGGAGGGGACCTAGGGGCTGGGAAATCCTTGCCGGGGTCTGATGGCGAGGGCAGAGCTGGGGCCTGACCCCCATGTCACGGCAGCTCGTTCCGGGTGCATGAAACAGAATCCCAGAATCCCAGAATGTTCAAGGTTGGAAGGGACCTCCAGAGATCATCTAGTCCAACCCCCCTGCTCAAGCAGGGACACTCAGAGCACGGGSCACAGGGTGACATCCAGGCGGATTTGGRAGACCTCCAGAGAAGGAGCCTCCACAGCCTCCCTGGGCAGCCTGTGCCAGGGCTCTGGCACCCTCACAGTCAAGTYCTTCCTCACATGGAGATGGAGCTGYCTGTGTTGCAGCTTGCACCCATTGCCCCTTGTCCTGGCACTGGCCACCACTGAGAGGAGCTTGGCCCCTTCCTCCCTACATTCCCCCTGCAGGTACTTAGACGTGTTAATCGGGAGGAGGAGTGAGGAGGACTGCGGCTGGGCAGGAGCAGGGGGATTGCAGGCAACAAAACCGGGGGTTGTTTTTCCGGCCTGAACGGTCTCGCTCAGCAAAGTGCAAAA